GCTCCCCTGGACCTGCAGGGCTGCGTCACTGGGGGCCGGACCATCTGCATCACCCCTTGGCTGTGATCTCACACACACACACGCACGCACGCATGCACATGCACACGCATGCTCTAGGGCCTGGTGCGCTCCCGCCCCTGCTTGCTTACCGTCACTCCTCCCACCACAGCCCTGCAAGCCAGTTCCCTTTTCTCCCCCGAGGCTGGGGATTTCCTCGTTTTCATTCTGTCCGGCCTGGGAAGTACCCAGGCCAGCAGGATGGGGCACTGTGGTTCACGTCTGTAAAATTATCGGAAACTTCACTCAAGATACACACACATGCACACACACATATGTGCACATGTAATGTACATCACTAGACATATTTGCCGGAAACAAACTATTTTGCCCAAGAATGTCACCAGTGTTAAAGGAGCAAAGTGATGGAATACGCAATAAAAAAGCTGAGAGACCCCCTGGGTCCTTCGTCATCAACTCTTGTGATTCCTCTATGATCACACGGCTGGTAAGGGGTGGGTGCGGCAGGGACGCAGGCTAGACACGCACGGCGGGTCCAGGCACACATGTGGAAGTCTCCCCGCACATCTGGTGTGGTGTGTGCGCTGTTACCCAGGTTTGCTCAGGCTGGGAGTGGGTCACAGCACGGAGACCCTACTGCGGTGGCCCTCTTTTTTTTTCATGAAATAAATAAATAAATGTTCAAAATGCTAAGATAATTGAAAATGATTAATTATAATAATTAAAATTGTCAGCCTAAATCTCCATCTCACATCTTCCCCCAAATATGAGGTTAATTAACAATTTAAATGTGAAAAGTTAAATCATATTGCTCTTGCAAAACTATAGAAGTGAACATTGCAACTTCAAATTAGTGCAAGAAATCAGAGAGACAGAGACTGACAGAGATACATAAAACTGAGATCCTCGGTATTTTATAAAACCAACTGGGGTCAGCAGATGGTGTGGTGGTTAAGGTGCTGGATCCCACATGGCTGACTCCAGAGTTTGAGTCCTGGATCCAGCAGCTTGAAAAAGATGCCAGGTGTGTGCACATACTCAAAACCCCAAGGGGAGAATGGAGGAGAAGGGATTGCAGCGTGGCCATACCCTCTGCCTGGGAGGTGATTTCTCTGGAAAAGAAACTAAAGAATTCTGGCACCCAGAAGTTGAGGATAAAATCGAGGGCAGAGGCGGCAGACAGCACTGGCTACCTTGCTGTTCCCTTCTCCTTGGCAAGAGAAGCCCGGATGTTCAGTGGGATTATCGCTGCACGGAACAGAAGGCTGTATTTCCTATGCTGCCCTCAGTGTGGCTGTCCAAGGAGATGGGACTGGAATGGGTGCATGTCTTCCAAGGAAGGCTACTTGTAGAGATTAGTTGAATCAGGTGAGAGGGGTCCTTTTTACACCTTCTGCCTTTCCTCGCTCTTCCAGATTGCAACTTGGAAGTGATAGCTGGAGTCCCAGCAGCCATTTTGGACCACAAGATTACCTTGAAGACGGAAGCCATGCGGGAGGGCTGTTCAACAGAAAGAGGGGACACTAGGGTCTTCTTGTCCCACTGGAGCACAAAACTAGTCCGAGACAGCTTACTGCTTGATGTCTTTTTTCTGTTTTTAGTTGCTCACTAAAAAGGGTCCATGTGCTCACCCGAGAGAGAAAGCCTCCTCCAGTGGGGTATAGTCGTGCTGCAATCCCTCCTCCATTTCTCTATCCTGTTGAGACTTGGGGCATGCACACATATGCACATATATGTATCTGGTGTGTTTCCAAAAGCCACTGGGGCCAGACTTGAACCTCAGTCAGCTGTGTGGGGTCCAGTTCCCTTAACTACTAAGCTATAGGGCCAGCTCATGAAGATCTTTCACATGAGTGAAAAAGAAACATCTTGGGACCAGCAGTTAATGTAATGGCTATGTCGCTGGACTTCCACATAGTTGACTGCGGTTCGAGTACTGGACCCGGTAGCTTAAACTCACGTCGGGCACGTGTGCACTGTTACCCAGGTTTGCTCAGGCTGGGAGTGGGTCACAGCAGGGAGACTAAGATCCTGAGAGGAGCATGGAGGAGAAGGGATTGCGGCGTGGCCATCCCCCCAGGGGGTGATTTCTCACTGTCTGTCTCTCTGTCTTTTTGGCAAGCACACGCACCCTATAGCAAAAACCTCTCCAAACAAACAAACAAACAAACAGAAAGAAACATCTGCAAAAACCTCTCCAAACAAACAAACAAACAAACAGAAAGAAACGTCTCTGCGCTGTTAAAGCCACTGTCGTTTAAGGTTCTCCAAGTACAAACAGATACAACTGGAGATAGAAGAGAACTTTGCAGGGCTTTAAAGAGGACTATAGTCCACTAAGTGAAGGGCAAGATTTCTTCCTTTAAAAAAATTTTTTTTTTTTTTTAGAGATTTTCACTATAGGATGTTTGCACTTGCTGGAGAGAGAGAGAGACAGAGAGACAGAAAGTGAGAAATCACCCCCCAGGGGGAATGGCCATACCGCAATCCCTTCTCTATCCTCCTCTCGGCATCCTGGGCACGCATGCACACATGCCCTGCGTGTTTCAAAGCCATTGGCCTGGATTCCTGGTGGTTGACTATGTGGGAACCCAGCAATGTAATCGTTTCGCCATCTGCTGATCCCCCTTAAAAAAATATTTTTTTTTTTCTTTTTTTTTTTTTTTTTTTTGAGAGATTTTTGCTACAGGGCGCGTGCGCTTGCCAGACAGAGAGAGACAGAGAGACAGAAAGTGAGAAATCACCCCCCAGGGGGAATGGTCACACCGCAATCCCTTCTCCATTCTCCTCTCGGGATCTTGGGCACGCACGCACACGCGCCCGGCGTGAGTTTTAAGCCACCGGGTCCGGGACACGAACCGCGGTCGACTACGTGGCAGTCCAGCGACATAGCCATTACGCTAATTGCTGGTCCCCCCCCCTTTAAAAAAATGTAAAGACAAGAAAGGCAGATTCTTCAATAGGGTTTTGTAGTGGGGAAGTGAGATTGGGTTCAACTCCCAAGATTCCTTTTCATAGTGCCAGTTCATGCTGGAAAACTTTCCGTCTTCCAAGAATAAAAAAGGAATCCTAAAAATCCTTCCAGAAGGAGACGCATGGGTTACTTTCAATGGAGCAAGGGGTCAGCTTGGCAAGAGATTCCTCACCAGCGACCCTGAACTCTAAATAGACACCTTGAAAATACCTAGGCAAAATGTGTGTAAACCTAGAATCACGAAAAAGCTAAGTTCCCACTGCCGTCCAAGGGCAACAGAAGTTTTTGGATACGTTAGGACAAAGAAAATTTGTCAGATCTTTTCTGAAAATAATTACCCTAAGATATATTTTAGGAGAAAACAAGTTCTGGGAAAGAAAGACAGCATTTGATACTGGAGCACAGACACCAGTAAGGCTTACAGTTAAATAAAGAATTGTTTTTGTTTAATGTAAAAATAAAGCCGTGGTCACAAGATTGAACTAAAACTCAGATGATCTGAATGTGGGAGTTGGCTATGAGGCCGAAGGTGGAAAGTGGAGGAGAACTGAAAACGTACTAAGGATTTTGTGTTGTTTTGCAAGAATACAGAAGTGCTAGTTAGACCCAAATGCTGGTGCAAAGAATCAGTTAAGGACACATGCTGACAGCAGGAGGTTCGGGGCTGGATGGCCACACTCTGGTAAAAGGAGGTGCTCTGTGAGGCTGCCCACCTGGGAAGGTTCTGGGCTCGCACCCAGAGACTTCCCTTCACTTGCCTGCACGTGCATGCCCCAGATCTGGGGCTGGCTGAGGCCTGGGGTGAATCAGGACATGCAGGCCCTGTGTGAGGTGCTGTCTCTCTCATTCATGAAATAAATAAATAAATAAAAAAGTTCGAGAGGAAAGAACGAGAAGAAAGCCAGGGGGAAAAAGGGCATGAAAGAGATGGGGCAGGAGGAGAGAGACAGGGAGAGGGAGAAAAGAGAAGAGAAAAACCAAAAAACACATTCTCACTTGAAATCAACATTCACATCAAAAGTCCAAAGCTTATGAAGGAATTTAGTAGTAAGAGTGAAAACTGAGAAAACGAAAAAGCAAAGTTTCCAATTCACTCCAGACAAAAACAAATCATGAGCCAAGGTGCCAAAGGCTTTTAAAAGCCCATACGTCGTGGCCAAGGATGGGGTATCCCACAAAGGCCAGGGAAGCCACTAAGAAACCTATCAGTGATGAAAAACAGACAGGCAGATTAAAGGGAAAAAGGGTAAGTTGATCTTTTCAGATGTTCCTAAACATTTAATAAGACACAAGTCATTTCTGATGAAATGAATAAACAAATGAAGTTGGCAAGTGAAGAGCCTGAGGAAGCAGTGGCACTTCCGAGGGTCTTCCAGGGCCCTGTGGCAATGTCAGAGTCTGAGGCATGCACGCACCCTCCCTCCTGCCAGAGGCATAGACACGAGCCCCCAAGATTGCCTTTCTTCCAGGAGCTGATCGCCCCCAAAGACTCTCTGAGGTCAATGCAATCAGAATAAACAGTCCAAATGAATTTCTTTTCTCTTTTTAAATTTGCTATAGGACGCGTGCCCTCGCTGGAGAAAGTGAGAAAGCACCACCAGGGTGAATGGTCACACTGCAGTCTCTTCTCCCGCATTCTCCTGTCTGGATTTCGGTCATGCACGCATAGGTGGCTGGCATCATTTTCAAGCCACCAATCTGGGACTTGAACCACTTAGTCGGCCATGTGAAATCCAGCACTTTAACCACTATGCCACCTGGCTGGCCCCCAGAAGAAGTGTTACTAGGCTTGACAAACTGATTTTAAATGATAACACACCAAATATGAGAGACTTGTTCTATTCAGTAGAAAAATCAGGACAGAACAGACAGAAAGTAAGAGTAGACAGAACAGAAAGCAATCGAGTATTGTAAGATTTTAGGGACAGTGACATTTCAAACCACGGAGGAGAGGGTGGACTTCACACTCACAGTTAAGGGTCTTGAGATGATTAGATGGTAAGTTCTTTAAAAAGTCAGTCACTACTTTACACATTCCCACACCTCCCAATTCTAGACGGGTTAAAGACCTAAGAGTCAGTGCCCGACCCACATGGACAGCTACTGGGTTCGTGGCCCAGGCCCTCCTTTACGCACTGGGTACTCTGATCCAAGCTAGCTGACAGAGGGGTGGATCATGGCTCGGGGACCTTTCTTGGTGGTGGTGGGGTCTCTCTCTTTTTCTTTCTCTCTTTCTCACAGAAGAAATAAGAAAAACAAACAAACAAACAAAAACCTTCAAACAAAAGAAAAAAAC